TGCTGAACCTACTGCCACAGGGGATGCTGAAAAAATCCTTCCTGCTTCCACCACCATCACTCCACTCAGCTTTTACAAGGAGTGGAGGAGCTGGCAGCTCCATCTAAGGGTGATCTGATGAACATGCAGCTCCCAGCACCTTGTTTATTTTAAAATTCTACCACAGAAATGTTTTCCTTGCTCTTAAAAAAAAGGAAAAAGCTTTTCTTTGAAAAGTCCAGGGAAGTTCTACCTCTGGTGAAGCTTAACTTGCCAGGTTCTCAGTGTAACCATTCATTTAAAATTATTCTCATCCTGAATTCTCCCATTTTAATGTCTCCAAGGATGAAACAGCTGCCAGACAACACCAAGTGATTACTTTTCCACACTTCCCATTTTATACTTGCAGTGCTCAGCACAAGACTTGCACCCTGTCATTTCTCATGCTATTTTCTGTGCAAGGAGGTAAATTCACTTCATGCTGACTTCCCTGACAAGCACAAGACAAGCAGGAAAATATGCTGCTTCAGGAAAAAAATCCATATTCAAAGTGCTGTTTTGCTGTGAAAATAAAGGGAAAGAACTGCAGAAAACTGGTTTGCATGAACAGCACTTCAGTGTCAACAGTGTCTCAGTAATAAGAAGCACCTAATAATGGAGCAGCTCTGGAGATAGGCTGGGAGAGTTGGGGTGTTCAGCCTGGAGAAGAGAAGGCTCCAGGGAGACCTTAAAGCAGCTTCCTTAGAGCAGCTTCCAGTGCCTGAAGGGGCTCCAGGAAAGCTGGGGAGGGACTTGGGACAAGGGCAGGGAGGGAGAGGACAAGGGGGGATGGATGAAAACTGGCAGAGGGAGATTGAGGTGAGACATGAGGAGGGAATTGTGGAGTGTGAGGGTGGTGAGAGCCTGGCCCAGGTTGCCCAGGGAAGCTGTGGCTGCCCCATCCCTGGCAGTGTTGAAGGGCAGGTTGGATGGGGCTTGGAGCAACCTGGGCTGCTGGGAGGTGTCCCTGCCCATGCAGGGGATTGGGACTGGATGATCTTTAAGGTCCCTTCCCACCGACACTATTTCATGATTCTATGATAAATAGGGTGGCACAAATTAGCCTCCCTCATCTGAAAAAACAGTTCCTATTATGAAAACCCCAGGAATCAATGCTACAGCTTTATGCTGCCACTTCCATCACAAAGGCCTCAGAGAAAAGGAAACCTTCCACAGGAACTGCCAAAAGCTGGAATGGACCAGGAGTTACAAAATGTGGCTGAGCTCTGTGGGGAAAGGTTCCTCCATAAAAGTAGCACACACAGTCTCCCTCATCAGGATTAATTTCTAAAGCAATTAAATTATTCACAACTGAGGAAGACAAGAAGAAAAGGTGTTTAGCTGGTAAATCTCCTCCCTCTGCTGGGGAGATGTTTCTATAGCAGAGGAAAATGTCACACTTGGAGCTGCAGGGTTTTCTTGCCTTTCCATGTGTTTCAATGCACAACTTGCTTAATTGACACTTTGCCCTCCAGTGCAACCTTAACATATTAAGATTATCAATACTAAGGCTGCTTCATTAAGTCTCTTTCATCAGTAGTGACAGTTTGGATTTTTTTAACCCCATCCTTCAATTTGTTACAAGTTTAATGAGCCATCCTGATGCTAGAGAACTCAATTCATCCAGGCTCTCCTAGAGTGGCAAAAGAACAGTGGGACAAAAAGGCAGAATAATATTCAGTTGTGTGTAATGAGGATTGTCTTCAAAACACAGAGCTATTCATGTGTTGGAGCTGAAAGATCCCAGGATGCATCCATGAAGGGAGATCCTGCTAAGTGGAGGGCAGGGATGTGTTCAGACTGCTGGAGAGATTGACCAGCACCTCTTGCTCCTGAGAACCATGAGACTTTCAGAGCAGAGAAGCAGCTGCCAGTCCCAAATGGGAGAAAAGGACTGGGCTGGTGACACCAGCTCCCTGCAAAGGGGTCACAGCCTCATCTCACAGGGAAAAACAGAAATGGTGAAGTAAGACTTACGAAGTGGAGAGGCAACCAGAGGGAGTGAATCTCTCCCAGTTTGCAAATGAGAAAATGAAGCACAAAGACTGGCCAAAGGAGCCAGCAAATCCCCAGGTACAGGCACTCTTGCTCTGCTAGAGTCTTCATCACTGGCCTGGTGCAGCACTGGGGTCAAGTGCACACAATTCCAACCTCCAGCTTTTTTTCCCCACATCCCAGGTACCTGGCAGTCTGGCAATTTGGTTTAGAAATGTTAGAAATGAGACCTACCTTCTCCTGCTCCAGCAGCTGTTGGAGACTTGCTTTATACTGTGGAGTTTTCATGTATGCCATGAACTGCATGTACTGGATCTTGAAAGAGTCTGCAAAACAAATAAGGAGATGATACATTTCAAGTGAGAGAAGGTGCAATGCTCCTGCTCAAGGATGGTTTTCAAGTGCAAGAGGGGAGATTTAGATAGGACATTAGGAGGAAGTTCTTCGTCTGGAGGGTGGTGAGACACAGGCCCAAGTTTTGGAAGCCCCATCCCTGGCAGTGTTGAAGGGCAGGTTGGATGGGGCTTGGAGCAACCTGGGCTGGTGGGAGGTGTCCCTGCCCGTGCAAAGGGTTGGGACTGGATGATCTTTAAGGTCCCTTCCAACCCAAACCATTCCATGATGCTGTGATTCTATTTACCTTCCCTTGACACCTCTCCCCACTTTACTCTCTCTTGCTTTTTATTTGGAGTGTAATTCAGACCCAGCTATTAATGCTCAATTTAGAGCATGCTGAAAAATCCACCTTCTGTTGGAAACTAAACTCTTGGATCCAGTAGCTCTGATAATAGATGCCCCACTGGAAGTCATGACAAGGCATTCCATAGTGCAGAGGAAGATGATGGGTGCTCATGATGTGTTTGCAAGATGAAAGAGGAGTTGAACAGCTTTTACTGCACTGTAAGTAGAAATAATCAAGGAAATGAGCTGCAGCAGCCAAAATCAGCCCTGAGCTCAGAGAACTTCTCCCAGCATCACAAGACTGGGCTTGGAGCTCCTCCTTCCAGCCAGATGACAAGCTCTACACCCACAGTTACTCTGCCCTCCAAGGAGCACTTGCTTCTCAACTCTCCTTCCATCTCCAGTCTCCTGTTACACAATGGACCTTCCCTCTCCCCACTGGGGCCTTTTCATCAGAAAACCACCCACACGATTAAGTCCAGACTGCTGCAATCACAGGCAGCCACAACATGCAATAGAGGATACAGAGATTCTGCACCAAGGTTCACTCCAGACAAGTGGCATCTTCCCTGCTCCTCCCCACCCCCTGGCATGAAACATCCCTCTAACTCTTCTTCTCTGTGAGAAGAAATCAATCATAACTGGAAGACACCACAACAAGAGAGCAGGAGTTAAGGACAGCACAGATCCCTTGGTCTCTACACAGACAGGAACATTACATCAGATTCCCACATGATCTCAGACTGGCTCATGCCCAATGCCAAAGGCCAGAAACAGTTGAGAGGGGTGGGGGGAAGGAATCAGAAGATCCAAAAAAATACTCTCCAAGTTCTTCCTTCAATCACCTCTTACACACAGAGCATATTTTCCAACACCATCTTTGTTACCTCAAACACTCAGACAGTGTCTCAATTACTTTGCTCTACGTTTTGCAGGACATGGAGAGGTGGCCTCCAAGACTGTATCAATTCAAAATAAGAGAATGGTTTCATTTAAAATGAAGTTATTTCTGACTAGCCATTTCCATTGAAGTTATTTTGAATTCCTGCTAAACCCAAGTTTTATTTCCTTTTGTGCCAAAAAAGAACTGAAACAAAGTCAAAAAAAACAAATGCAGACCAAGACAAGACAAGCAAGAGAAGAGACCCTGTGGTGGTGCCAGCAGAAGTGGAGCAGGAGGGGGGAGTTGGAGAGAAGCCACCCCCCTCTCCTGGTCTATGTGCAGCTTTCCCTTTGATTTATCATATATCCAGAAACCTCCAAGTAGAGGTTCCCATAACAGACGCAGTGACATGATGGTCTTACCTAGCAGCTTCTGTAGTGCAGGTGGGGTAGGTGTCACCAGCAGCTGGTTCGATGAATGACGTTGCACTTTAGGAGGTAGTTGGTAATATGGACTATGAGGTGACTTGTATGCATCTGAAGAGAGAACCAAGAGAACCTTTCAGATTCTTAGACATGAGGAGGGAATTGTGGAGTGTGAGGGTGGTGAGAGCCTGGCCCAGGTTGCCCAGGAAAGCTGTGGCTGCCCCATCCCTGGCAGTGTTGAAGGGCAGGTTGGATGGGGCTTGGAGCAACCTGGGCTGGTGGGAGGTGTCCCTGCCCATGCAGGGGGTTGGAACTGGATGATCTTTAAGGTCCTTCCAACCCAAACCATCCCATGATTCTATGATTATGAAAGTCAAGACTTTCTGGCTTTCAGGACAGCAGCTTTTCCATTAGGAAGCGTGTCCTTCATGATGCAAGATCCAGAAAGCCAGCGAGATCAACAGACTGCAACAAATTGTTTGGAAGGACATCTACAGCTTATCCTTAGAGCAGCAGCTCTAAGCCATAGCTCAGCTCCAGCTTCTGCCCAAGTACCTACAAAGTCAGATTCAATCCCCATCTCCTCACAGAGGCAGAACCCCCATCCCATGAGGAGCTTTCCCGTGGTGCCAAGGGAGAAATCAGGACACAAACCCAAGCTCAACCCAGCAACAAAGAACGACCACCCAACATACATTCAGAGCCTCAGCCACTTATCTAGGCTCATGTGGCAGGGGGAGGCTTCTACTGCCAGCCTTGAACTCACCCTGAGGAGAGGATGAAGATGTCTGGGAAACAGTTTGGGCATGCAGAAGTTCTAGAGCAGTTTGGTTCTTCTTGGTCTTGCGCTCCGTGTTCGCTGGGTTCATTTTCTTGGGCCGCCCCCGTTTCCTTCCTGCCATTTTCCTTCCTTTTTTACTGAGCTTTTTCTTCCGTGCTTTGGAGGGAGATGGCTTTTTAACAGAATTTGTCCCAGCCTTTTCTTCTTCAGCCCCAGAATCCTAAGAGATATTTGAAAAAGCCAAAAAGCTCCTTAGTCATTTCTACCCACACACGCAGCAGCTCTTCGAAGCAACTAGTAATAACTTTGTTTAATCGTTTCCTGAAAGGAAACTGAGGCATTTTAGTTAAATAACTTACCTGTGAAATAAACCTGCTTGGGATAAGATCTGTCCCCATCACCCAAGAAGCTAATTCTTTTCTGAATTTATTCATTAGAGAAGGAAATTTGCAACTGTTGTCTAAGAAAAACTGATTATTCAAGCCTGTACTAACTATATTTATCAACTGAATTTCATTAAAAAGTCGAAGTACATTCAACACTTCATATTTTTGTGCATGAACAGTCACTGCCTATCAGTATGATGCAACTAAATGGGCAAGGAGCCTTTGCAAAAGAGACTCAGCAAGCTTTGAACTCCACTCAAGAGGTTAATGTTGGGGTTGTTCAGCCTGGAGAAGAGAAGGCTCCAGGGAGACCTTAGAGCACCTTCCAGGGCCTGAAGGGGCTCCAGGAAAGCTGGGGAGGGACTTGGGACAAGGGCAGGATTAAGAGGACAAGTGGGGATTAAAACTGGAAGAGGGAGATTGAGGTGAGAGATGAGGAGGGAATTGTGGAGTGTGAGGGTGGTGAGAGCCTGGCCCAGGTTGCCCAGGGAAGCTGTGGCTGCCCCATCCCTGGGGGTGTTGAAGGGCAGGTTGGATGGGGCTTGGAGCAGCCTGGGCTGGTGGGAGGTGTCCCTGCCCATGCAGGGGGGTTGGAACTGAATGATATTTAAGGTGCCTTCCAACCCAAACCATCCCATGACTCCATGATGATTCTATGACTCAGGGAAAGCTCTGCCAGCTGGAGCTGAAGGTTACCCAGGGTGGACAACCAACTGTTCTATTCATCTTGCAACACTTCTTTTCCAGAATTAGGGATGCAGTTCCCCCAAGAGCAGCTCTTACTAAATCACTCCATCATATTTTTGGCCACAGCAAGAGCTACACCAGTTCACATGTTCAGAACAGTCAGTCCTCCCCCAGAATCAGGCCTTTCCCTCACACGGATTGTAACTTCAGGCACAGCTAAAGAGAAAATGCAGCATGTTCACCTTGTTCTCTTGAACCTTTGTTGGAGTAGTTGTGTTGCTCTTGTTCTCTCTTTGCTGCCGACGTCTAGCTGCCTCTTGTTCCTCCTGGACAAACATTTTTATCATTAGACTTCATCATCTGGTTCTGTATTTCTCACATGTCAATTCAGAGCACTGTGTCTCCCAGGCCTCTCCTAGAACTGGGTGCAAGTGCTCTTATAATAGAATGCCTAATTTTTTAAAGAAAACAACCTCAAACAAACCAAAAAATCCTTTGTTATCAGCAAAGGAAAAACCTACCCTGCTTCACACAAAGCTCAGTGGGAAAGGGAAGGTGCCCATCACCTTTTGCTCTGAATTGCCTGTTACTGCCTTTCAAACATGAAGCCACAGGGCAAAGGAAATGAAGCTCCAACCTCTTCCCTTATCCTGCCCTTCCCAGTTCCACCAGATCACACACTGGTTTTCAGTTTGTTTTCTTTTTTAAAATCTTTTCAGTGGCTTGACCTCTCCCCTCAGCATGTCATGTGTGGCTACAATACTTGACAAAAATCTTCCATGACTTGAAATGGCAGAGCCATTAATCAACTAATTCAACTTTAGCCAAGTCTGGAGAGGAGACTTTAAAAAAAGGGGCAAAAAAAGCAGCAACTTGGCAGTAAGGACAGGAAATGTCAAAAGGCTCCCTCAGAGCCTCTTTTGAACCTTCCAGGTGAGATTTAATTTGCATAAGAGTTCTGGCAATCCAGCTCCTCTTCAATTTAAGCCTGTTATCAACCAGCTATAAACGGCAGGTTTTAACAGCCTCATCATTAAAAGCAGAGAAGTGCAGAAGTCCATGGATGCCACCCTGGATTTTTCTTTTCACTTTGAGAAGTCTTTTTTTTCCCTCCCAAGTTTGAATTCAGGAGGCTGAAACAACCCAGCCTCAAAGCTGCCATTAGTCTCTTTTCAGCAGAGTCACCCCAAAGACTAAAATCCACCTGAAGTTTTAATTTCAGTGGCCTCACTTAATTCTCTAACTGGGAATACCAGCCCCACTGGTTGTTTCAGACTAATAGAGCCCAGCAGAGCCTCAAAAACCCTCTGGCATTTTAATTCCACATGTGATAGCACAGACTGCAGCAACTGACAACACATTTCAGGTCTCAAATAGCACGTCCCAAAAGGATCATCTCAGAGTGCTCTTCAGCTTCGTTTCCATGAGGCTGAACACTGGGACAGATTCAAATGATCATTTCCTTCTCCAACCTCAGTTCTCTAATGGACAAATAGCTCTTGATAGACTTTCAATGCAAGGGAAAATGGCCTCGTGGCTGCCCCATTAATTCCCTATTAGAAAAGCTCTTGAACATGATTGCATTAGTGCTCGATGGCACGTGATGCTTCACTTCACTTTGGCTCCACACCCACGTTCCTTGCTCAACAGGAAAATCTGATTTTGCTATCAATTCTGTCCATCTTGTACAAGTGACTCAATTCCTCACAGTGGCTGCTCCACTATTTTGAGTTTTCTACAGAAAAGGTCAAAAACTTACCCTGAGTTTTGGATTTTTGAGACTAGAAAAATAGTTTTCAAGCTGAAAAGAGAAATAAAATAGAATCATTTTCAAAGTCACGACAGACAAACACAAAAGAACAAAATACTGGCTTAAGACAAATGCAGAAGAGCAGAAATTGACTGGTTCCCTTCTGATGAGCTACACCAAGAAGTCATTTACATTCATTTTTTTTAGTGCTGCACATTGTGCAGCAAGATAAAAGCCACCAGTGAGCACTGGAGTCCAGAGGCCAATTGTGTCCTGGGCTGCATCACAAGAAGTGTGGCCAGCAGGACCAGGGAGGGGATCCTGCCCCTCTGCTCCTTCATGAAGGACAAGGAGCTACTGGAGAGAGCCCAGCACAGGGCACTGAGATGCTGAGGGGCTGGAGCTTCTGCCTGTGAGGAAAGGCTGGGAGAGCTGGGGCTGCTCAGCTGGAGAAAAGGAGGCTGAGGGGGGGTCTGATCAGTGCTGGGGAATATCTCCAGAGGGTGGCAGGAGGATGGGGCCAGACTCTGCTCAGGGGTGCCCAGGGACAGGACAAGGGGCAATGGGCACAAACTGGAGCACAGGAGGCTCAAGTGAAACATGAGGAAACACTTCTTGACTGTGAGGGTGGCAGAGCCCTGGGACAGGCTGCCCAGGGAGGCTGTGGAGTCTCCATCCCTGGAGACATTCCCATCCCACCTAGATGTGTTCCTGTGGGATGTCCTCTAGGGGATCCTGCTCTGGCAGGGGTTGGGCTGGATGATCTCCAGAGGTCCCTTCCAACCCCACCAACTCTATAACCTCCTCATGTCTGCTCATCCCACACAGCTCTGGGTGTTGCTGTTGCAGGACAAGGCTCCTGGTCCTGGGTAAGTTGGGAAATAGTTTGTGCCTTTGTTTGAGAACATGGGGGGGTCCCAGCTGCACATGGTGGTTTGGAGGCAGGGCTGTTGGACTCAGGGGATTGGACTGGATGATCTCCAGAGGTCCCTTCCAACCCCACCACTCTGGGATTCTGTGAAGTGCACCCATCTCAGCTGGATGTGCTACAGCTCTGCAAATACACAGAGGAACATGAAAACACACCCCAGGACCAAGGGTCTGAAGTTGGCAGGTTGGTTCCAGAACAGGCAGAGCAGCCAGGGCTGCACTGGTGATACTCACTATGGTTCTGTCAATAGTGTGCAGGTAGTAAGAAACTGGTTTCCCGGTCCAGGACACAGACCCTTTCAGTGGTGATAGCTCCACAACTCTCATGATAGTGCCAATATCTACAGGAAGAAAATCAAGTAAGAAAACTGAAGTTCACTGGCTTTGCCACTCAGTTCTACTCAGCTGAAACCAGCCGTGCAACTCGAGAGGTATAATCCAAACAAAGAGTTTTGCAGTTGGGGAGTGATTTCCTAGAGGAAAACACTGCAGTGAGTTTAACAAGCAAATTCTTATTCTGTGTGAGGGTGGTGAGACCCTGGGACAGGTGACCCAGGGAAGCTGTGGCTGCCCCATCCCTGGCAGTGTTGAAGGGCAGGTTGGATGGGGCTTGGAGCAACCTGGGCTGGTGAGAGGTGTCCCTGCTTATAGCATGGAGGTTGGATCTAGATGATCTTTAAGGTCCTTTCCAATCCAAATCAGTCTGGGATTCTATGATTCTCTTGTTACATCTGCCCTACAAAAAAAAACTTAGGAGAAATTTGGAAAATCTACCTTTCATTTCTGCAGAAACAGCCATTCTAGAGTAAAATTCTTGTGCTAGTACAAGCTTTTAACAAAAGGAACTTTGTTGTGCCTCAGAGGGCTTTTACAAGGACAACACATCTGTAGGAACAGGCAGGATTTAATTAGGTAGCACCAGTAACAGAACACACATCCAACCCATGCAAATTGTAACTACACTATATTTGGACTGGGGACAAACATGTTTTGTATTTGCTTTCTTGCCTGTATTTGTTTCGTTCCCTAGAATTACTAGGTGTGGGATGAGTCTCAGCATTTCCATAACCACCGAGTGACACGACTGGAGTAGAAATTATAACACACTTCTAATTAAATAGAAAATCACCCCCAAAGAGTCAAAACCCAAGGCCTGGGATTCAGCGACTTCAACCACTATTTAACCACATTTTAACACTTGTTTTGGTTTGTCCCAACTCTTTCCACATTTCCATTTCTTTTTTCCAGATGGATCTACTGAGGACAAAAATGGTACTTGGGGAAAATAATTTCCTGCTGCTTAAAGCTTCATCTTTTCCTCTGTATTTTAAAAAGTTATTTAACTGCTCATATTTTAGATCAAAACACTAGATAGACAGGCAAGCCACGTGACTCAAATCATACTTGGGGACAGAAAAACACTACTGAATAATAAAGTAAATTTGTAGGGCAGCAGCATAAAGTTATTAGAGCAGAGGGGAATCACCTCCTTTGCCTGGGAAGGATACTGGCCACACTGGATGCCACATGGGATGCCAAGAGCTCTAAGTGGGTGACATTTCCCTGGAAATGTCACTTAAAACAGGCCATTAAGACTGAAGCAAGTCCCAGGACTTGCACATCCCATGTGTGTTCAGCTGATATTGTTATTTCTCAAATACAGGATAGTTCCAGAATGGGGCTAAGACCTAAAGCTGATTCCCACAGTTGTCCCTCCCTGTAGCAAGCAAAGGTAGCTTCCTTTCAGGATCTTGTATCTGAATCCCTGGAGGAGTTTCCTTTCAGTGGAAACTATTATCTGTTCTCATGCTAAGCAATCTCATTCACCCAATTAGCTATCTGTGTGTTTTAACATCAACATCCACATTAAGCATTAAATAACAGTAGATAAAGAAAACTTCAGCCTTCCAGAAAACCTCCCCAATAGATCCACACTGGGATGAAAGAGAACTGGCTGAACTCATGGTCATAATGAGTTTTACATGAGGTGAAAGAAGTGCCACAGCTTGGCCCCTTTGCCTCCCCACCATGTTTTTAATACCTGCAGCCTCCCAAACCTAGCAAAGAGAGAGAGAATGAAGTGGTCAGGCAAGGCTTGAGGGGCAAAAATAAATGTATTTATGTAGGCAGGTCTAACTGGAACCTCAGAAGGACCTTCTTGTATTTCATCCAGTCCCAGTGTGCTGTAAAAGAGGTCCAGGCTTTGCTCAGGTGCTCTTTGTCTTATTAGCAAACTGACAGGCTGATCCCAGCTCTCTGGAGGTTTAAGGATTCCCAGGAGGACCTTCCTGCCTTTTGTTCCATTTCTTTTCAAGTCTACAAAGGATTGGCAAGGCATGGCACAATGTTCCTAAGGTCCCACACAATCAGCTGCCACAGAAAAACTTCTCAAACAGGAAGGAAAAGGGCAGGTTTGGATGTCCAGTACAACCTCAGTAAAAATAACTCCCAAACAATTCAAATTACTCTTCTTGAAATGCAGTTTAACCATGAGTGTCAGCCCAGAAACAGAAAACACAGCTTCTCTAACCCAGAACCTGACTTGTCATGTTTGCACAAGGTGTATTTTAAATGTAGGGAGTATTTTGCACAGCACACAGTAACTGTGTGTAAACCCCATCCTGGCTCATTCTTCTACTTGAAAAATGTCAACAATAAAAATTGAAATAAAGGGCAGAAGCAAAAAAGCAACAAGATGGGGTGTCAGCAATCTCAAAACCTCACTAAACTGCAGTTGCAAAGGACAACACTGGCAAACATCAAGTCTGCTGTGTTCAGAGGAGAAAAAAAAACCAACAAAACTGCTGGCAATAAAACAGCAAGTGGGTGTTCATGGGATAGGTCTGTTTGATCCATGTAGAGCACAGAACACAGCACTCAGAGTTGAGCATTTCAGCTTCTAAGCCTTATAAATCCTGACTGCTGGGATTTACTTGTTCAAACTTAACCAGGGAGGAAGAAATCTACAGGAAAGTTACTCACTGCAGAAAGCAGCAGTGAAAGAAATGAATCATGCTGGAAACACCTTATTTTTCTTCAGTTATAACCCATGCCCAGCCCAGGAAACAGTGACATGGAGCAGGTCTATATGAAGACCTGGGACAGCTGGGGTGTTCAGCCTGGAGAAGAGAAGGCTCCAGGGAGACCTTAGAGCAGCTTCCAGGGCCTGAAGGGGCTCCAGGAAAGCTGGGGAGGGACTTGGGACAAAGGCAGGGAGGGAGAGGACAAGGGGGGATGGATGAAAACTGGCAGAGGGAGATTGAGGTGAGACATGAGGAGGGAATTGTGGAGTGTGAGGGTGGTGAGAGCCTGGCCCAGGTTGCCCAGGGAAGCTGTGGCTGCCCCATCCCTGGCAGTGTTGAAGGGCAGGTTGGATGGGGCTTGGAGCAGCCTGGGCTGCTGGGAGGTGTCCCTGCCCAAGCAAGGGGGGTTAGAACCTGATATTCTTTAAGGTCTCTTCCAACCCAAACCATTCCATGATTCTATGACATTAAAGACAACTTAACACAGCAGGATGAACCCCACAAGAAGAGTGTCTATTTGTTCTAGCTTTGGGTGGGGTTTTGTTTGTTTGATTCCCAATACTCATCACTTCAGCCCTTACCCTATAACAACACCACAGCGTTTTTCTAGTTACTTCCACAACTCTTAAAAGAGCAACAAAAACCCACCACAGACACATTCATAGAATGAATACCCCAGAATTGTAATGAAAAATAGAAAAGGCAAATCATACCACTCAAGTTTCGACTGTTAATTCTAAAATTTAGAGGTGCAAAAGGTTTTGAGGACACAATTCTCCCACCTGGAAAAAAGAACAAAAAAGACAAATTCAGCTACCACCTTTGCTTCCAGAAATGACTCCTTATTAAATATAACTCAGCACAGAGCCCTGAAGAGCAGCCCTAATAAAACTACCACTTGTATATCATTAAAAACAGTTTAAAAATGACTTAAAGTTCATTCTGACAGCATCCAAGAAAGTCAGTCTGTTAGTCCCACTAGCAATGAGGTGACACCTCAAGGATCACTTTAAAATGACAGATCTTAAAACACTTAACAAGAAAGGAGCACATGAATTCCCAGTGGCAATCTATATAAATTTCAATTAGGAACATCTCTATCTCATTCCTATTTAGTGTCTTTATACATAAACCCCCAAAGCTCTTTTTTTTTCTAAACACTCATCTCTATTTCAGAGCTATTTGTGGTCATCCAGCCCAAGGCACAGAGCCTGAGCACCTCCTGGGATGAGAACCAAGGTGTCTTCATCTTGTAAAGAGCTCTTGAACCTTCCCCTCCTCACCTTGCCACCCAAGGAACCTTCTCCCAAGTCACCACTGAGCAAAAGTTAAAAAAAAAACAACTCATCACAGATCAACTAGTAAAATGAAGTTAAATTTGGGTGTTTATGTTTTGCAGCAGAGCCCAAAAGTCACATCATTTAGATCAGCACATAGCTGCAGAGTGGGGAGCTGCAGCTTCTTTGCTCATGCCAGACATTTTTATTCTCAGACATACTTATATTTGTAATTTCTGCCATAACCAACTAAGATGGCTACTTATCCAAGCAGTTAAGACAAAAGATAAAGACCTCTTGGGGGAGGGAAGGGCCACAGAGGGGTCACTGGGCATCCCCTGTGCCTGCAGTGCTCAAGAAGCCAAGTGTCCCCACTGTCATCACTGTCACTAGTTAACTAGTGATTAGTTAACATCCAGTACTAAATGTGACAACTTTAAATGCAGGATTCCAGTAACTGAATTCAGAATTCCAGCTGTATCTATGATAGAAACTGGCATGGAAAGCCCTGCCTATGCAGGCAGCAAGCTCTGGGCTTGGTCACTGCCTGTTTTGTTGGCTCCAGTTAAAGGACCAGCAGTTCCTCCCAACTCAACAGGGCCCCACCAGGAGCTTCACCTGCAGAGCTACCTCCAAGAAACCAGGTAGAGCAGGGCTGATACTAAAAATGAGGCTTGTGCAGCCTGGTCTGGTGGGAGGTGTCCCTGCTCTTAGCGGGGGGGGTTGGAACCTGATGATCTTTAAGGTCCCTTCCAACCCAAACCATTCCACAATTCTATGAAAATGGGAAGTAAAGCCCAAGGAATAACCACAGATGCTCACCAGGCACAGAATGAAACCCACCAAGTTGGTTTCTGGTGGCTCTAAGCCCTTCCCATCACCAGCTCCCCCAGGAAGCAGGGAAACAAAAGGAGTAAAGGTCTGAAGTTGGACTTGTTACCTTCCTTCATGTTCGCAAATCGCTCCTTCAGCTGGTGATCCACCTCAGGACCAAAGGCAAAGTTATTCACAAAAATAACACTGCAAGATAATGGCCAAGTTAATGAAGAGGGACAGGGAAATGGCACCCAAGTACAGACACACAACAATCCCCCCAGCCACAACTGACAGTTGTGTTCAACCTTGACAGCCAATGATGAAACTAAAAGCTCCTGCTTGTCCCTGCCTGTGCAGCTGTGGCCATCAAACAAAACACTGGTTTGCCTGGTGACACAGAACAGTCCCTTGCCTTTAGCATCCACAGACACTGCCCACATGCTTAGATTTTTAAGGCCTCCTGCTCCACCAGCTCCTCTCAGCACACAGCTTGAGTTTTGCACCCCAAGTTTCAACATAAAACAAAGCACTGAGTGTTTTCCCCCCCTCTGCCACGGTGAGACCAACCACCAACACAGCAACTACCACCACACAGGAGTCAACCCCCCCTGAAAAGCAAAGCTCCAACCCAACAGACACACATTTCCACCCATTACTTCCCCTCGTCCATGTTACACACTTCAAATATTGAAATATTTAAAATATTACACCAAAATATCAAAACAGATTTTCTCTTCTAGCTCCAAATTCCCCCATTATGCAAAAAAGAGTTGAAATCTCTCAGCACTGTTACTCATCCCATTACTTCTTCACATGCATTTAAAACATCACAGCAAAGTACCAAAGGAAGCTTGCTCTTCTAGACCCAAATTCCCCCATTATGCAAAAAGACAGCTGAAATCTCTCTGCATGTTTTCTGCCTTAAACCCAGCAAATTCACCCTAAAACCACAACAGAGGATTTGCATCTTTCTGCATTAGGAAATCAAATAAGGGGGTTTTGTTCCTGGAAAAAAACAAAACAAAAAACAACAAACCCAGTCATATGGAAACAAAGAAACTTGCACAAAGGTAGAATCACTCAAGTGATTAAAATGTTTGGGGAAGATATAGAAGATGGCACAGATTAAAAAATAAATGTTCTCTTTATTTTTAAGAGCCTGGTCTGATGGTCCCTGGTGCCTGTTTCCTACCAGTGTGCAACAAGAGCCCTCAACATCTCTTGGAAGCCCTTGAGCACCCTGCACACAGAAACTGTTTAAGCTCTTCTGGCTTGTTGTTTCAACATGAAAATCTGATTTCTGTGCAAGAAGTGTGTTTGAAAACTCCCCTCCCAGTGCCTCCACACATGAAACACGTTCATGAAACGTGTTCAACACGGACACCGAGTTTAAAAGCAGCAGCCAAAGCTATTAAAAACCACAGATGAAAAAATATGTTTATACACCAAGAAAAAAAGAAGTTATTGCTATGCCTTGCTCTTGGAAATCTGGGAAACCCTGCCTGGCAAGTAAGGTTAGCAGGGGTTTCTTCCTTCTCCTTCCCACCATGTGCCAAGAAAGAGGCCTTGCAAAACAGCCAAGCACGTTCATGGGAGGAGAAACCATCCAGGAGAGGAAGGGAAAAAGGCACAGTTTGCCAAAGAGATATTTTTTTTAGTGTTCATTCTGGCACAGGAGAGAAGCACAGGAGCCCCCAGTCCAGCTTGAGTTCAGCCCTCTTTTCTGCACCTACTGGGAAGCCACAAGTGGAGGCACCACCAGGAATGCTGGTGCTGCCCAGCTCGCTGGCATGTCTGGGACAAACACACCCAGAACCCAGGCTCAGGGTGACACTTCAACTTAAGTCTCCAAGATTGGGTAACTCCAATGGGAATTGATCAGACAATCTGCAGTCTCCTTAGAGCAGACACTGAGCAGCTGGAACACTCAGAACACAAGCACCCAACAGTTTGGGGGGGGGAAAAGTGACTTTTCTGGCATTTCTATATCAGGAGAGCAAGGGGGCTGTGGATCAGAAGGCACAATCAGCTGCACACCACACAGAAGAAACATCTACCAGCTTTTCTACAGGCAGTTAGATGTACTTCAGCTAAAAATAAATAAATTGATTCCAAAAGAAGCTGCACAGACAGCAGAGGAGGGAGAATTTGGAATAGCAATGATTCAAAACCCCACTGTGCTGCAGGATTGGGATGAGTCTGTCCACGAACCAAAAGGCACCTCCAAAAGTTTCACTGAGGTACATCCTAATGTCAAAATCATCAGCCTGGCAGTTGCCTTCTTGATGGCACTTCAAACAGTGTCCTGGAAGCAATCCAGAAGTTGCCAGAATACTGAAGGCTTTCAGAGAAGTCCTTTTTTGACAAATGTCTTCCATTTCCCCACGTTAACAGGGTGACCCAGAAGGTCACAGAAAAAAACAAAGACTTTTTTCTTCTGTCCATAAGGCTGAAAGCATGCAAAGCCTTTTCAAATACAGAAGAATATTCTCTTGCTTTAAACAAATTTCCTCTCTTCTTGCTACCATCAGAAAGAAGTCAAACCCTCTGCACAGATCTCCCCAGAAATAAATCTCCAGGACAATCAGCTCCACTGAATTCCCAATTTAAGTTAGAACAGACTCACTTGGGTCTTATGCTTTTGGTTTTTTTGTTTAATGCAAAGTGAGCCTGGCTGTAGCACCAACACCCAAAATAACTTGTATTTTGCCAGAATCACTGCCATGAATTACATGGATATGCAAAACAAACAGAGGTTTCTGCTTCTCTCTATAAGCAGAATTTATCTTGGATCCACCCTTGAATGTAATATCATGGGACACCCATTTTAAACCCATTCTTCTAGGCAGAAAACAGGATCTAAAGAGGCCAGTATGAAAGCTGGCAGATAGACTTTGGGATTTGCTATGGAAATTCTATATAAAAAGTTGGCCAGCCTCCCAATTTCCATTATACAAACTCCCAAATATTCAGTTCATAAAGCAGCATTCAACTGCTGTACTGTACCTTGTGTTTGCAATTCTCTCTCTCCATTCTTCTGAGAGGAAGTCACCTCTTTCCAGCTTAAAAAAAAAAGACAAAGAATACAAACAAAAACACACACACAAGAGTTAATATTGTTCATTTCTGCCCTGTACCCCTTTTCCTTCAGAGAAGGCCAAATGACTGCACCAACTCTGTGACAATTACTACAAACAGGGCCACAGGAGCAGAGCTGGGGTGTTCAGCCTGGAGAAGAGAAGGCTCCAGGGACCTTAGAGCACCTTCCAGTGCCTGAAGGGGCTCCAGGAAAGCTGGGGAGGGACTTGGGACAAGGGCAGGGAGGGAGAGGACAAGGGGGGATGGATGAAAACTGGGAGAGGGAGATTGAGGGGAGACATGAGGAGGAAATTGTGGAGTGTGAGGGTGGTGAGAGCCGGGCCCAGGTTGCCCAGGGAAGCTGTGGCTGCCCCATCCCTGGCAGTGTTGAAGGGCAGGTTGGATGGGGCTTGGAGCAGCCTGGGCTGGTGGGAGGTGTCCCTGCCCATGCAGGGGGGTTGGATCTGGATGATCTTTAAGATCCTTTCCAAGCCAAACCATTCCATGATTCAATCAAGTCTTTAGGGAATGCTGAGGAGACAAAGTACCCAGAGTTCAGCATCTGGCTCTGCCCATTCCTTGGGTCGTGGAGGTGCCTCCCTCTCTGCTCCCACCCTTCACCTGCCACAGGATGAATGGCAAAGGGTCTCCAGGCACCACCAATGCCCTCTGAAGGTTGTGCTCCATGGAGAAGCCTGCAGTGCCATGCAGCACCTGTACTAGAAGCCATCAGCAGATGCCTCCTCAAGTCCCTGCTGACCCCTGTGGTTCTCTCAGCCCTCTTAGCAGGGCTAGAACCAGAGCAAAGAGATTTAGCACTTGCTGGAAACATCAGCTTGTAATTCATGCTCTTGCTGCAACAGACAGACAAGCATCTGACTTTTGTGGCACTAACTAAAAATCTTGAATGTTTCAAACACTTTCAAGTTGGAAACCAAGTAACATAAAGGCCTCATTTGAAAATAATTAGTTATGACTTCAGTGACTTATAAAGTGCCTTTCTGATGAAACCACATCAAGTCCCAGGTTGATACCCACAATCACCCAGCTTTTCCACAGATTAATGTTTTCTTAGTCATCCTTTTGAAATGAGAAGGACCTACAGGCCATGCTGGTTGGCTGTGCCACGAGGAAGGCAGGAGGAGGGGTGGGGGAGGAAAGCAGGAGGAGAGAAAAAAGAATAAGCAATAATAAAAATAATAAGCAATAATAAGCATCATGATTAATTATGACACACTTTGAAGGGGCAAGTAAGATGATGGCTTTGATCAGAACCTCAGAACACCAAAGCAATGACAGTGACTGCAGGGACTGCTGAAGCTTTTCCTGCATAAATTCCTTTGTATGGAAAGAAGGGAACATTTCACATCCCAGCACTTCCCCCCATTTAGTGCCAACTCCAACAGAAGTGCCTGCCCTGCAATGCAAACACACTCCAGCTACTTCCAGACCTCACCAGCTGAGGTAGGATGCCTGTCTCAGTGAAGCACCAGAGCCTGGTGTCCTTCCCAGTGGCTTCCTCTTCCCAGCAGAGCAGCCTGATGCCACTTGGAGCCACAGAAGGGAGGACAAAGGGGGTAAACCTGTCAGAGTCCTCATGAAGGACAAAGCCACAGTTGCCAACAGGAGTGGGAATGCTTCTTGGGAGGGAAAAAAAAGCCAAAAAAGAAGTCCAAATGCTCTACTGCTACACACTGTGGAACAGGGCTGAGAAAAGTGAACATCAAGGGTTCTTGGGCAACAGATCAAGAACTTGGCTGAGAGACTTGAGTATTAGAAGCTAAACGTGCTGAAAACAGGAGGTTAGAACAGCTAGTGTGAGTCAGAACTCTCTGTTCCACCAAAGAGCTGGGCTGAGATAAGATTTTAGAACAGAATTACTACCTGCTGGGGGAGGTGCATGTTTTGATATCCCCACTACAGCAAAAACAAAGTGTAAGTTGGGAGACTGAACTCAGAGAGATCCAACCTACCACATCACGAGGGACTCCTAAAACCGAAAGGAGAAACTCAATGCAGCATCAGAACAGTTCTAAAGGGAACTGAGTCTTTCCCTCCTCATTTACAGAAGCATTTTCTGGAGCTCTGTCTGCTCTGTTTGTGAATCAAGATCACCTCTAAATTTTTAAGAGATAATTTGTCTCCAAGTCTTATCTGTTCTTGTTTCTAGTTTCATGGTCGAGTAACCAAGACCAAACAGAAGGAAATCCACATGCAAGGCAACTCTATTGATTTTATACCAATTTTTGCAAGTCGGCTTCTACACTGGAGTCCTCCCCACCACTGAATTTCTGATGTCTACATGAGGTTTTCATAGAGACAGGAGAAAGAAAAACATTTGAGAAATAAAGAAGCATAATTATAAAGCCATAATCTAGTGAAGGAACAAAGACCCAGTGTAACATAAAACTATTTTGAAATACTAAGCTTCACATAAAGGTCCTGAAATCTAAGCTAAGTAAGTGGCTGTTACACTTTACTTGGATCAAGTTACTCTATAGGTTGGTCCTGCCTGTGTGGTCAGGAACCAAAATCTCTAGTTTTCATAACACATGGAGGCTGAACACACATTTCCCCCTGTCTACTTCAGAAGGTAGAGGCCACATTACAATTCAAATGAAGCCCAGTCCTGTGTCAATAGGGTTATTTTTGTATTATAATGCTACCCTGGGTCATTCTTAGCCAACAGTTGAGGGAAAAATTATCACCAGGAAAAATACTGGAGTACAGAAATAAGCAGATGGTCAAGTGTGGTTGGGAGAAAATTGGTTATTTTTTCCCCTCTGGAAGCAAGACAGTGATTCCTGAACCAGTGATTTGCTGCATTCTGATCAGAGGACAAGAGCTGCCTGATTGACTGTCCTTGATGACCAGTTTCTTCACCTGCTGTACCAGAGGAAAAGCGAGCAATGAATGATGGCCTAAAAAGTGAGACTGAACCTGGAGCACTGAGGACAGCCCTCAGGACACAAGAAGGACATGGAGCTGCTGGAGAGAGGCCAGAGGAGGCCACAGAGATGATGGGAGGGCTGGAGCAGCTCTGCTCTGGAGACAGGCTGGGAGAGTTGGGGTGTTCAGCCTGGAGAAGAGAAGGCTCCAGGGAGACCTTAGAGCAGCTTCCAGGGCCTGAAGGGGCTCCAGGAAAGCTGGGGAGGGGCTTTTCAGCAGTGATAGGACAAGGGGTGATGGGTTTCAACTGGAAGAGGGGAGATTTAGGTTAGATATTAGGAAGAAATTCTGCACCATGAGGGTAGTAGGGCACAGTTAAATGTTGCCCAGGGAAGCTGTGGCTGCCCCATCCCTGGCAGTGTTGAAGGGCAGGTTGGATGGGGCTTGGAGCAACCTGGGCTGGTGGGAGGTGTCCCTGCCCAAGCAGAGAGGTTGGATCCTGATGATTTTTGAGGTCCCTTCCAATCTTAACCATTCTATGATTCAATAGATGGAGGAAAGCAGGGCCTTCCCCAGCCACTGACACTGGGAATCCAGCAGAATTTCCCAAAGTCCCAGTCAACTTTGTGGTTTACAATCATTTTGAGAGCAAACCAAGAACTGGTAAGGAAATTCCAGTTGACAGTAACTCCTGGCCAAGGGCTGCAGCAGCTAAACCAGCAGAAAATCATGGCCCTTTAATGTCATGCAGGGAGATGGTGCAAAAAGCAGCAGTGACAGCTCTGGGGATGCACTCAATCTCTTCCCACCAGTGTCCCCACCCCCCTCGTGTTCCTCCTCTCTCTGCGAAACTTAATCTCCTTAGTGAATAATGAATGGAAGGGACCATCTGTAATGCAGATATTTTCATCTGATTAGACAATGCAGAAGACCTGCTTTATCTAAAAGGATAATTAGCTCAGTGAAATCCTCTTCAGAGAGCTGCCAGCCTGCATTGTTTCTTAATTTAGAAACCAAAACAGGGTTTTATTCAGGTTTCCCAAACATAAATTTGCTCTACAGAAAGTGCAGAGAAACAGGCTCAATGGCACCTGATCACTGTAACTTGAAGAAAACAGGTAGGTCAGTGCCTGGGGGAAGCACCCAGAGGTGCACTCCAGTGCCTGGGTGTTCATCACGTTGCAGAGCAACAGTTGATGAAGGTCAAGCCCTTGTGGCAGGAGGAGGCTCCATCCTCACCCCAGAGCAGGGCTGGGAGTCTCTGCCCAGCTCCACAAAGCCATCAATTCACAGGCAGGATGTCTCATTCCAGCAGCCTCCATGCAAGCAGTTGGCTCCCAAAAACCAGTCATTTCTGCCTGGAAAAGTACACATGGTTATTTTTAGGTTCCTGTTCTTTTCAAAAATAACTGGAGGCATGAATCCAGGCCTCCAAAACGTGGCATCATTTCAAAGCCACGGGGGACGTTTTGGAGGCTTTTTCAAATACCAAAACATCGAGTTTCCCTGCTGCAATGAGGAGTTCAAAACCATCAGGGACAGGCAGATATCCTGCCCTTTCCTCAGCTCCAGGGTTCTGTTCAGCAGTGGAAATTTTTCAGGACAGGTGATGTCAGTCCCACAAACCAGCAGCTGGGATCAGACAACAAGAGGCAGTGAAACTCCTACACAGATCACTCTGCTTCTGCTCAGAACAGAGGTTTCCAAGAAAATAAGCCAGACAGGACACCCTAAACCCAGAGACAAGCCTGCAAGCTTCCAGATGCCAGGTTTCCACTGATTTATGCACAACAATAATCACCTCTAATCCCCAGGGTGAACCACGGAGCATCTTCAGGATCAGAAGCTACTGGTGTTTCCCTCTGAGCACTCAAATGTGGATCCAGCCAAAATCCCAGCCTTTAGCAACACTGCCCTGTGTGTTCCTGCACTTCTTTTGAAGATTTTTAGATGGATTTACACCTACTGTCAGAACCAGCTTGAGTGGAACAGGGGAAGGTATTCTGTGAGAATAACCCTGAGTAAACAAAACCAAACCAAACCCTTGCCCTCAGCAGAAATCCAGTGTTTAAAATGCAGCCACCACCAACTTGGC